GCTCGGTGGGTGGAGGCCGGAGCGGGGCCAGCTTGGCGTTGGTTCCGATTCTCCTTGGAATTTGCCCTTTGAGTTTGGATCCTGGCTTATTCGGAAGCCTGTGGGGCAGGGGTTTAAAAGTTTTTGTTGTTTTTTTAACTTAGGTGTCGTGAAAACCACCGCTAACTCAAACCCAAGATGGGAAAGGAAAAGACTCACATCAACATCGTCGTCATCGGACACGTAGATTCCGGGAAGTCCACCACTACCGGCCACCTGATCTACAAATGTGGGGGCATCGACAAGAGAACCATCGAGAAATTCGAGAAGGAGGCTGCTGAGGTGGGTACATTAACTTGGGTGATTACAACAAGTGCCCGCGAGTACAGTGAGTGGTACTTTTTCAAAAAATAGTGTCCCGTCCACATCCGCATGGCACACGAGTTTAGGGATGGGCCATCATGCGTGGAATCGCTTTGCTCCGTCCATGTTCCCAGACTAGCGACCTGGGGTTAGCAGTTGTAAGCTGGAACCGAGCATTTATGCCAACTAGGGGAGTCGGGAACTTCAGGCTGGGATTGGAGCGTCTTAGTTCCCGAGTAACCGTTCTTACTCCTCGCAGATGGGGAAGGGCTCCTTCAAGTACGCCTGGGTCTTGGATAAACTGAAGGCGGAACGGGAGCGCGGTATCACCATTGACATCTCCCTGTGGAAATTCGAGACCAGCAAGTATTACGTGACCATCATTGATGCCCCAGGGCACAGAGACTTCATCAAAAACATGATCACGGGCACATCTCAGGTTGGTAGAGTTAACCATTTTTTAGAGAGTTAGCTCTCTGGGTCTGTTACTTTGGGCTCATCCTTTTTGAAGAGCTTCCATTTACTAACAGGATGTGGCCTTGTTTTCCTTTAAAGGCTGACTGTGCTGTCCTGATTGTGGCTGCCGGTGTTGGTGAATTTGAAGCAGGTATCTCCAAGAACGGGCAGACCCGTGAGCACGCCCTTCTGGCCTACACACTGGGTGTGAAACAGCTGATTGTTGGTGTTAACAAAATGGATTCCACTGAGCCACCCTACAGCCAGAAAAGATACGAGGAAATTGTTAAAGAAGTCAGCACCTACATTAAGAAAATCGGCTACAACCCTGACACAGTAGCATTTGTGCCAATTTCTGGTTGGAATGGTGACAACATGCTGGAGCCAAGTGCTAATGTGAGTTTTAAGACCATTGAAAACATTGGAAAGAAGCGGGCCGGGTATGGGGGCAGGAAACAGTAATGGATGATCTTGTGTTCTTCAGATGCCTTGGTTCAAGGGATGGAAGGTCACCCATAACCATGGCAATGCCAGTGGAATCACACTGCTTGAAGCTATGGATTGCATCTTGCCACCAGCTCGTCCAGCTGACAAGCCCCTGTGCCTGCCCCTCCAGGATGTCTACAAAATTGGTGGTAAGTTGAACATTAATGTCAGAATGTGACATGTATGGGAGGCTACGATTTCTTCACAAGCATTTATGACTATGCCCTAAACATTTTAGGTATTGGGACTGTCCCTGTGGGCCGAGTGGAGACTGGTGTTCTCAAGCCCGGCATGGTGGTCACCTTTGCTCCAGTCAATGTGACAACTGAAGTAAAGTCTGTTGAAATGCACCATGAAGCTTTGAGTGAAGCTCTTCCTGGGGACAATGTTGGCTTCAACGTCAAGAACGTGTCTGTCAAAGATGTTCGCCGGGGCAATGTGGCTGGTGACAGCAAAAATGATCCACCAATGGAAGCAGCTGGCTTCACAGCTCAGGTAACACTAAATGTCATGTTCTTCCTCCCAGACCCTTCCTTAAATGTCTTTTGAGACTCGGGAAATAAGCTCAAATCCTTTTTCCCAGGTGATTATCCTGAACCACCCAGGCCAGATCAGTGCTGGATATGCACCTGTGCTGGATTGTCACACAGCTCACATTGCTTGCAAATTTGCTGAGCTGAAGGAGAAGATTGATCGTCGTTCTGGGAAAAAGCTGGAAGATGGCCCCAAGTTTTTGAAATCTGGTGATGCTGCCATCGTTGATATGATTCCTGGCAAGCCCATGTGTGTTGAGAGCTTCTCTGACTACCCTCCTCTGGGTAAGATTGAGCATTTACAGTAATGATACATTTTACTTGATGAAAACTTTGTTTGGTGTACTGTGTCTAATGATAATATGAAATTTGTTTTAACAGGCCGTTTTGCTGTTCGTGACATGAGACAGACCGTTGCTGTGGGTGTCATCAAAGCAGTGGACAAGAAGGCAGCTGGAGCTGGCAAAGTCACCAAGTCTGCCCAGAAAGCTCAGAAGGCTAAATGAATATTATTTCCAACACCTGCCACCCCAGTCTTAATCAGTGGTGGAAGAACGGTCTCAGAACTGTTTGTCTCAATTGGCCATTTAAGTTTAATAGTAAAAGACTGGTTAATGATTACAATGCATCGTAAAACCTTCAGAAGGAAAGGAGAATGTTTTGTGGACCATTTGTTTTTTGGGGTTTTTTTTTTTTGGTGTATTATTAGTTTTTAAAATCAATACTTCTTAATGGAAATGACTTGAGA